TATGAGTATAAGAACTTGAAGTTGTTCTACGCTACTCTTTTTATGTTTCATACTATACTACTTTATATATTACTCCATTATAGAAGCTTTACAAAGTAGTTGAATTCTTTTGCCTACCGCTACGTATAAACTAATAATAGATACGGATTTATGTTACTTAAACACAAACCAAAGGAAGATCAAACTGGTTCAAACTCTTGAACGCAAATACTAATTGACTACACAAATAATTACATATCGGTATATTCATAGGTGTGTCAACATTTTTGTCTAACAAATATCTGCCGTTTTGAGAACTAACTCCTTTTATCGTTATAAACCAAGTTATTTATTGTTTTCGAAGTCATTTTTCGAGAAAGTTGACTCTTTCAATTAGGCTGGTAAGTATTTGATATTTTTGATGGCTTTCATAATTCATTAACATAATTATTCCTCTCATTCTTGGGTTGTTCAAATGTTTAATAATACAATTTAATTTTTGAAAAACTAGATAAGTTTACATAAATTTAATATGACAGCTAACGATGATGAAAAAGAGAATATTGACAATACTGAGATTCTTGATGAAAAACCACGTCGTATTATATTAGGGCTTATTGCCCAGATACGCAAAGGAACTGAATTGCATAGAATTGCGTTACCTGCATTCGTTCTAGAACCTAGAAGCATGTTAGAAAGAATTACTGATTTCATGAGCCATTCCGATCTAATTTTAAGGTTGTCGCTCTATGTTTATTTATTAATTGATTTTGTTGAAGAACTTTTATTATTTAGTGTATCACAAAAGTGAAATTTGATATAATTTAAGTTTAATTTTTATTGATTGTTAAGAATTATACTTGGCTCATTGAGTATATTGAGTTTATTGAGTATATTGAGTTTATTGAGTTTCACTTGCATAAACTTTGAATGCGCATCAAGTAGCATTATATTTTTTGACAAACTTTAATTTAGACAAGAATAACTTTCGTTATTTATTTTTTAATTCTTAAATTTACATTTTCTATTAGGGTGCCAAAGCAAGAAAACAGTGTCCAACGATTCGTAAATGTTGTGCGGTATTATTTATCCGGATGGCACGTAAAGCCTAAGGTGTGTAACTTTTTTCCAAAATCATATTATAAATGTATTAATCTTAACATTCATTTTAGGGTGTTAAAAAATCATATAACCCTGTATTGGGTGAATTCTTTCGTACACGATGGAAATATTCCGATAATACTGAGGCATTATATATATCTGAACAAGTATCACATCATCCACCCATTTCTGCATACTATTATGCAAGTCCAGAGAATAATGTGTTAATTTTTGGTACTTTACGTCCAAAATCTAAATTCCTGGGAAATAGTGCAGCAACTTTGATGCACGGTGAAACAAAGCTTCTTTTCACCAACCTTCCCGGTGAAGTATACCGAATTACGATGCCAAATTTTTATGCACGTGGTATACTATTCGGTAAAATGGTAATGGAATTAGGTGATAAGACAACTATCCGTTGTGAGAAAAACGATTTACTTTGTGAAATGCAATTTCAGACAAAGGTATGTGTATTTTTTAAAGGTGAAATTTATTTAAGTATATTCATATTTGTTTCCATTTTGTGATCTTCTATTCATTACTGCTAGAAAGTTTCCACGTGTTTAATATAATTCTAGGGATATTTTACTGGAACTTACAACTCGATTTATGGGAGGATAATGCGTGAATCAACGAGGGAATGCCTTTTTGAAATTACAGGGAAATGGTCCAATATTATTTACATTACTAATTTGAAGGTTATTAAATAATGCGATAAATTAGTAGTTAATTCATTGACATTTCATATTAAATGTATTTAATTAAATTTTTATTTTTATAGAGTGGGAAAAGTGAAGTGATGTTTAATGCTCTTGAATCTGCGATATGTCCAAAAATTGTTGCACCGGAAGACATGCAAGGCGAAAAAGAGTCTAGGCGGCACGAATTTGATTAATACTTTTTTGTTTTATGTGGAATATTTTTATATGCTAACGTTTTTTTTTTTTTTACATTTAGATTATGGTCAAAAGTCACAAGTGCACTATTAGCAAAGAATTTTGATCTTGCTACACAAGAAAAGTTTCTAATTGAAGAGAAACAACGTAAAGACACTAAACTTTTGGAAAAAGATTGGCAGCCAAAATATTTTTCACGTAAGGGTGATGAATATATCTTCAATCACATGCAGTAAGCATTTCCTCATATTTTAGCAAATGCCTCGCTATTCTTAATTTGTTTCTGATGATTTTTTTTATTTTAATTATTTATTAGCAATCCAGAAGCAATATTTCAAATTTAATGACATTATTTACGTAATTCTTTAGAGCTACTTTATATATTATTATTTATTTAACAAGTTTCTATTATGTTGTAATAAGCTTCTATTTTTAAATATCAATCGAATTTAATGATTTTATTATTATACATATTTATTTTCGGACTTTTAGTTGAAAAAAAAATTGAAATATTGGTTTTATTTAGCTTAATGACCTACATTAAGTTACATCTACTAAATTTGCATCCACTTTCCGTAGTTCCTATTGGTCGCAGGGGTATTCAAGCAACATCACCATAATGCAACTAATAGGATGGAAAATTAGTAAATTCTGATAATTAAATCAGATTATACTAATTTGGAAGCCTTAATAAAAAAAATTTATACGTACGTACAATTATAAATTATATTGTAATTTTCGATACACTTATTTATACGTAATTATGGTGCAAATACTATATCATGAAATTTTTAAATCTTTATTGTAATCGATCCCCATCGATTAAATGTGATAGCAATAGATTTTTATTGATTATAAATAATAAACTGTAGCGCTTTGCAAAAAGATGTGCCTGGTGATTTTCGTGATAACGATAATGATTAATTTAAAATTGCTTGTACTGTAATCGATTTTTTATCAGTTATATAATACCTACCCTTACCCTA